ACGCATCTTTTCCGCGAACTTCATTACCGTTTTTTATAATGGATCTAGTTATTAACTGCCGGAATCATGTGTTTTCCATAGATTACTCCTTTTTAAATTCATTTTTATAAACAAAAATGCGTAATCCAGAAAAAGTAAGGAAAAAAAGTGCGAATTTAAACTGCTTCAGGATAAATAATTATTTTAAGATTTTTTTTAGGATATTTGAAAAAATTATTATCGTTTTCAGTGTTTTCATACAAATTTCTTATGATAAATGCCCAGTGTTTCAAGTTATTGTTATTACTAATAAAGTATTTAATATATTGCAAGCATTTTAAAGTAATAAATAACTTTAGGAAGAAAAATCATACAGCTAGTAGTACTTCTGTAGTTAATTCTCAGTATATATTTGTAATGTTTTATATTCACGTGGTAAAGTTCGTATGCGGATTATTAATAGCTAGGAACCGTTAAACCTTGTAAATTAATGTTTAGGGCTTAATAACAGAAATATTATTAACATTAGTGAAAGTGTATACTGACAGCCTCGAGGCAGAATCGAATGAACCTGAACCAAGCGCAGATTGTAACAAAAACAAACCCCAGACTCTCAGAAAGTGTATCGCAATCAAAAAAATGAACAGCTGGTGCTGTCTCAGCGACTTTGAGGATGGTGTTCGTCGGCGCAGCATAGATACGATTAAAACAGCATTCCTAAGGCTGTCAAGAGCATACCAATTTTACTCCATGACATATAATTACTTCATAGTGGCGAGTGAGCAAATGGTGGTCTTCAACTGATTGGCGTTTAAGACTATCTGGCCTATTGCAGACTCACCTAAGTATGACTGTGACACAAATCAAACTCTATATTTAAACCTCAAAGGTCCGAGCGAGCAAATGACTCGGGGAAAGTGCTACTTGCGTTATCGTATATGTTGGGAACATCAACCTTACACTGATGTTCTCAATGTTCTAACATCAAAAGTGGACTACTGAAAAATGCTGCCAAATTTTTTTGTTATATAAATCCTGTTTCATGCTTGCACTGAAAGTTTTACTTGCTTGCACTGAAACTTGCGCTGTTTCATGCTTGCTTGACAGCATTAGGCTATGGATCCATGTTGCTTGAATGGTTTTGTACAGAATAGCGATGGCTATGTGATGACATAGAGAGCCTTTTTCAATTATATAAATGAACCCTTTTAATGTACGTAGAGAAGTTCTTAAACGAAGTGAACTATGAACCATCGATTTACTTTCATGCATTTCGTACATTTGTAAAGAAATGGCTTATTTTAGTAAGACAATGACTCACTCTTTCAGGCAATCTGTAAATAATCAGTCATCATCATCCTTGGCTGTTGTAAATAGTGTTACAACAAAATAGGCAAAGTGTCATAAAAGGTATTACTTATTTTATTTCTCGCCATACTTTACCCGATTTAGAAACAATAGTGATGAGAAGTAGACAGGATTTGATTAACGCTTATTTAAGATCCAGACCTATTCAATAATTTCCAATTCTATAGAATTCATTCTTTGCGTGTTTTAGCGAACACTGCTATTAGAAGAAAATCAACACATACAAGGAAGGTGTCTTTTAAAGTTTGGGTCATTCAGAGTGCTTTTGTTATGATTTATACTTATTCGATGGTTTCGTTTTCTCCCTCTCAACTTCTGGGCGCTAATCTTTTTGAGTGAGTGTTATTTCATTATTCAAAGTAACGTTTATTCAAGCCAACTCTGTCATAAGTATGTAGCTTTATCGCAATAATTAGGATCTTTCAGTAAATTTGATTTCATTCGCTGGACTTAAGTATGAAAATTACCGTTTCTGCGATTCATCTATCCCCCCCCCATTCATAGGATTTGTAATGATACTCATATAATTTAATTTTGCTAATGACTTTATATATTGTGATTTGGAAATTTTGATCAGTAGAATTTTTCTTAAATTAAATCAAAAAGCGAATGGCCTCCAATGTTGCATCTTGCGTATTCTGCTGCTTCTAAGGCTATGTGATAAATATCATCTACTTGTTTAAATTGTGTCAGCATTCGCAGAATAGGCTGTTCCTTTAAAGGTACAAAATTTTCATTTGCTAACTGAAATGCTAGCTCATATAATTTGCTTCCTATTTTAGACAGTGATAGCTTTTCTAACAATATAATAAGCAGTTGGAAACTTCTTTTGGGATGTGTTGTCTAAATTTATTTGAACTCAAATATCAGTACATATTTGTATATATATTATATATATATATATATATGTATCTGTTCGAAATAAATTATGAGTTTATTAGGTACTATTCTGTTTCGAGGGCCGTAAAAAATCGCCAAATTATCGTTGATGCCAATGCTGCCAAAAAAGAATTGCGGCAACCCTAATAATTGCGGCAAGAAAGGAAGTATAATAGTAATAACTATCTAAGATTGATGATTTAATTTAGATGAAAGGTTAATTTCATATAATTCTATTTTATTATTATAATTTATATGAAAAAGGCTAAACATGACTGAATGGAAGCATAAGAGTAAATAAGTATTTCAGATCATTATTATAATTTATATAAAAATTGCTAAGCATAACTGAATGGATGCCTGCATCGCTATTTCGCCACTGACTTATCGCTAAAGCATAGTTTCACCTCGTTGGTTGTTCAAACATAATTTTCTATAATGATGATGCCTTTTCTTTGAAAACATTCTCGATAAAGTGCAGAATCGCTCACTTATTTGATTTACCGCTTTTTTACAAGAAGTTAAAATGAATTAGATTTTTGTCAATTTTCTTTTACTTTTTAAGTGAAAATAGGTCGATGTTGTGCATAGATAAAGTCAAAAGTGTGCGCAGCGCTATTTTTGTGCAATTCCGGGATTTATTTTTATTATTATTTTTTTTTTTTTTTGAAGTGAAAATGAAAATAGGTCGATAGATAAAGTCAAGGGTGTGCGCAGTGCCATTTTTGTGCGATTCTAGGATTAAGTGAAAATAGGTCGATGTGTAAATGGATACCGAGTATGTGCAATTCTTAAAAACGCGTCAAGCAGTGGGTGATTCTGCACTTTACCCAAAATTCTATTGCCGACTTTTCGTCATGGGCAATTCCCAAATTGTTAAATCCATAGGATATCAAAAAAGGATTTAAAATCGAAAAAGGATTTAAAAATTAAACTAGTATTTCAATGGCGTCTTAAGAAATATAGAACTATACAAACTTACGCAATCTGAAATCAACGCGTACGCTAGATTTGGCGCGCTGTTAAATGGGCGCGTTTGCTAGATTTGGCGCTTTTGCGCATACATTTTCGCTGCAATTTTCTTACGGCCCTCAAAACAGAATAGTACCGTTTATATAGTATTTTCTCATTTATAGGAATGCTATTAATTGTAAGAGTATCAGTAAGATATGTAAAAAGGAATCACAATCCACGGTGTGTTAATCTGACCTGTTATTGAATTTAAGCAAATAATAAATTCTAGTGTTTGTTTCTGTTTGCATTATTATGATTAGTAAAAATAAATATCTGTGCTTGTTTATGTAACTTTATTAAACTGAGTTTACTTAGCATGAAATTTGTTACCTATTTTATCTTAAATATGAAAAATTACTTTCAGAGTTGTTTAAACTAATTTATATCTAAAATATGTCTAGATTCGAAGAAGTGAAATCTGAGTAAAAAAAAAAAAAAAAAGCTAGACTTTGTGCATTAATTATGCGTTAAATGAATCTGTTTCTGTTCGCACTTTCATTTCTGTAATGAAATGTGTGAATCAAGCTTGCTTGAGACTACCATCATTCTTGTATTATCTCGATTTTTTCTTTTACGCTGTGTGTGCGTGCGTGTAAAGAACACTTATGGTAGAGCGAAGTATGTTTATCTTATTATTTCTAGTAAAACAGCGTTCCTGTTCTAGAGTGGAGAAACTATCAGATGCATTTAAATATTTCTGTATTCAAGTTGCTTTAAGCATCGGTCTTGATTTATTGGAAGTTAAAGCGACATTATGTATCATTGCCGCTTGCAGCGTCCAGCGGAACGCAGTGAAGCCAAGTGTAATTGATATTAAATTTGTGATTTCTTTAAACAGATGTCTCTTTAATGATACGAACTCTCCAGTAACCATGTAGTAAAATCATAAAACGCTGATAATTCATTCGTTCCCGTTTCATCTCCTGGAAACATGAAAATTCATGCCTGGCTGCGTGGATTCTTTTTCTTTCCCTTCAAATGTAACATTAATTCGAATCATCTTCTCTTCGAAAGTCATGGAGGAAGATATCCTTTCTAATACTTCGAATTTTTATCTTAAAAATTGCCATTAATAAAGGAATTTTGACCTACCAAAATGTTGGAATGTCACAAATTTAATTTAGTGGGAAGTAGTTGTTATTTGTGTTTATGATGCTTATACTGTGTAATTTTTCTTAAGCGTTTAAACATTATATAACACTTATCTATTTTTTATTTATGTGTCTTGAATTAAAACGTGTAAATTATTTTTAACTTTGTTAGTCATTTATGTTTCTTGTCAAACACAGTGCTGAAATTCTGAAATGTTGTGTTGCGTAACTTTTCAATCTTTACATCTTATACTCGTTTAATGCCGTGTATGCTCAGTTTCGGTTTTATCTTGAAAAAAAAAAAAAAAAAAAAAAAATGCCTTTTGTAAATAGGCTTCATTTTCTATCGCACACCTATTTATATATGCCCTAGCTTATTTAGGTGAGTAATCTTATTAAACGGTTTCTTTTAGTCACTGAGCAAATGCATTTTGATCGAATGGAATTTCTAGCGTAGCTCAAAATGCATGTTCTTTTCAGCACTGGTTTTGACCCCTACTTTGTTATGGTAAGTAAGCAGACCTTCTTTATTTCATTTAGCGACCCTCAATATTCGATGGATTCATTTGGATCTAAATGTGTGTGCACATTGGCTTCAATTTTTTATAATTCTAAATTATGTTGCGAGTCGCATTTTCTTGATAAGTGATTTTGGTTTTATTCACGCAGTCGACCCAAGCTGCACAGTGCTAATGATGTTAAGGAAAAATTGTTACAAGTCCTCTTGGCTCAATCCCAGAATCTCTTGGTCAGTTCCGGTTGCCCCATCGACCAGGTGAGTGTGAGTGTCAAATTTTGACTCATTAATAATTTTTATGTAGTTGATAGTGAAGTTTTGTAATTATCATAAAGGTGAGTCTTTCTCTCTCTATTTTTTTTTTTTTTTCCTCCTTTCGAAAGAAAGACCCGATCAACTTTGTGTACCTTGATGTTAAAAAAAAAAGTAGGGCTTTTTAAAGTATGTTAACATTTTTGTCCTAAAAATTAACTTGTCATGTGAAAGTTGTTGTTACGTTACTGAGCGTGCCTGTAACATTAAATGAACTACTACTTTTTGATTAAGAACTTGGAGTAAATATGAATTTCTGGTACTATTCCGTTTTGAGGACCGTAAAAAATCGCCAAACTATTGTTGATGTCAGTGCTGCCAAAAATAATTACGGCAACCCTAACGCAAGAAAGGAAGTATAATAGTAAATGACTATCTAAGACTATTGTTTTAATTTAGAATGAAAGGTTAATTTCATATAATACTTTTTTATTATTAAATTTATATAAAAAAAAGGCTAATACATAACTATGAACGGATTCCTGCTCATTATTCGCTACCGAGTTATCGCTAAATCATAATTTCATCACGTTGGTTGTTCAAACATAATTTTCTATAATGAATGATGCCTTTTCTTTGAAAACATTCTACCGGAGACTTTTCGTCATGGGCAATTCCCAACTTGTTAAATCCATAAGATATCAAAAAGGATTTAAAATTTAAAAAAAAAGGGATTTAAAAATTAAACTAGTATTTCAATGGCGTCTTAAGAAATATACAACTATCTAAACTTACGCAATGAAATCAGAGCGTACGCTAGATTCGGTGCGCTGTTAAATCGGCGCGTTTGCTAGATTTGGCGCTTTTACGCATACATTTTTGCTGCAATTCTTTTACGGTCCTCAAAACGGAATAGTACCGAATTTCTTGAAATTCTATGTATTGGATCCCTTGGTTTATCACTTTAATTAGCAGGTAAGTCTGTCACACCTGTGATTCTGTAAGAATTTTGGTCTGCCTTTCAAAATATATTCTTCATGTTTAGTTTCAAATGAAAATTTTGGATATTTCTTTCGGAAGAATTTCCAAGCTGCTGCTGTGCGGCGTAGCTTTGATGAGTCTAGCATATCATTAACTTCTTTTGTTCCTGAATGTTAAACATAATTTATTTGATCATTAAATAAATATTTCAACTTTTTAAATTTATGCATGTAAAAAATATCAATTTTTTTAGATTTGTGATTTTATGTTTAATGTTTTTATTTTTAAATTTTTATTGCAGTTCCGTCATTCTTCACGTAGCATTATTTATATCAAAATAAATAAAGTATCCGTTTTTTTTTTTTATTTATTTATTCTTTCTTCCGTTTTTTAAGAGTATTTGGTAGAGTGTATTCGAAAAATAATTGCTGCTTGTTGAAAGAGGGGGAAAGATGTATTAACTTTGCAATAGTTTGACATACTTCCATCTAAAAAGGTGTATGAAAGAAAAGTGTAATTTAAAACAAAAGAATAGAGCTGGATAACTTCAATCCTTTTATCCGATTGACCATCGAGTGCCGTTCTATAACCCATCTGTTTTATCTGTGTTTTTATTTGAAACTCTTTTTTTCAGGTGTAACGGATGCCCAATCCTCTTAATGATTCGCGTGCGAAGGCATTAGTTTTGCGCTGTGCATGCATGCATACCCGCTCCAAAATCGTGAAAAACTTTCTTTAATCTATTGAAATTCCTCCCTCGAGACAGTGGGCCCCGCTTTTTTCACGGAGTGTGCCCAGTGTTGTGAGAAATGAGCTCAGTGTTCAGCCCCTGTGAAATCTGGCGCGTGTTCCCTGCGCCCGGCCCGCCGATAAGCCATGGTCCGGGATCTGATTGTTGATGTTGGGATTACTGAGTGCCGCCGGTGCATCATGAACGAGGATTAAGTCCCCCTCTCTAGGAGTTTGAGAAAAAGAAGACTTCTTTGCCGAGACTTGACATGCATGAGTGGTCCCAGTGCACCTATTGGGAACTGTGCACTAATCACAAAGAATTAGACTGTTGTGAAGGAGTGATTGCTTGCTATGATTTGTCAGCAACTTGTGCAGCACCTGACTAAGCCTTTCAAAGGCGCGTCTTTTTCTTCGCTTTCTTTACTGCTTCTTTCGGGGAGACGGGCGAAAAAACTGTGTACTTAAGTTCTTTCCCATAAATTACTGTCATAACTCATAAAGCCGTTGTCGCGAAGGAAGTCGAGAATTGTTCAGCACCGGAAAACTTTTCTTCTTTCCTGTAATGTTCTCGCCTAGTAATTGTTTGTAACGCAACTCTGCACTCGTCTTGGAGATGCGCTTCTTGTCCATAGATTTATTGAAAGTGTCCCGAAGTACACTTCTTCGAGATAAAATATTTTACACTCGTTCCGCTTCAAAGAACTCAACTCGTCCAAAGCTTATTTAGGTTCCTTTCCTTTCTGCGTTAAGCTTCTAGTTATTTTGAAGAAAAGACCGCTTTCACTCCAACTTTTTAACTGCATCAAGTCAATAAAACTTAAATATTCGTTTTTTATAGTAGGAATGGACTGCTTTCTAGTGAATCCAGTAGTATTATCATTTTAACACAGCAGAAAAGGCCATGATTCTTTATTGCCATGATCAACATTTTATGTTCTATCTGCATTTAAACTACTTGTCTTTCATAATCACTTTTTTTCTGTAAATTCAGGGAGTTTATTCATTAGCCTTAAAACTTTTAAGTGTCAAAGTACAGTTTTAAGAATGCGTTTTTTGTATTTGATTTTCTACCTTCTTAATGACTTTAATGAGTGTACTTTTTCTACCACCTTTCTGTATTCTTGTACTTAATGTGTCATTGAAAAAAGCATTTCTTCTTTATTTGCTTATCAAAATAAAGCTTAAATTATTTGATAAGTATTAAATTTATTCCAGTCAACACTTGAAGTCGTTGATTGAAGTATGGCTTCAAGTAACCCCCGAAAAAGTAGTTTTGAACTTTTAGTTACAGCCTGAATTTTTAAAAATATTTACTTATATTAAGTGACAGCTGTATACTTTATTTTGTTAAAAAAAAAAAAAGAAAAGAAAACTTTGATGATCCTGTGCTTAATTTAAAATATTTTGCTACTTGCATGCTGATACTGTATTGTGAATGCTAACTACCCCTTAAGACAGTGCTTGAATTCTGATTCTGTGTATCGCACTACTCTTTGAGCAAATAATTTGTTAAATGATTTATGCCTATGGTGGTTATATGGTGACTAAAAGTGCTTTTCTAGAATATATTCTATTTCACTAAGAGTGAAAGGAATTGCATTTAAAATAAAATCATTTTATGTAAAATTCAGAAAAAACTTATGTAAGATACCTAAGCTTTTTTTCTTTCTGTTTCATAGGATTTTAAATAAATAGTTATTTAAATAGTTTCGTCTTCATTGGATTATCTTACTAGCATTGCTTTTATATTTAAAACTCGAGTTATTGAAGATTAAAGTCTGACTAATCAACCTTAATAAGTCTTAATAATTCAAAAATAACTCTAGTTACTTACATGAAACCCTTATTTATACGCAAATTAAGGGCATCGTGTCAGCAACTGCTAACTTTCAAGTAAATAACCTGAATTAAAAATTGTTGAACATTTATGTAATCAGCTCATCTCCTTCCCCCAGTCGCATCCTTTCTACACAGTCCCCCTTTTTTTCTCCCTTCCATCCTCTGTGTGTGTATATATATATATATAATGTGTGTGTAAAATTAATAGGTATTACAATACACCTTATCACCGACAAGTTTTTCTAATACTTGCGCAATAGCTGCAAAGTAAGATAATAACAATTTATTTACTAAAGAAATATTGATTATATTATCTCCTAATATAAATTTGGTAGAAGTATCTAAAAAGAGTGAACCCATATGTAATATATCACTATTGTGTTCAGTGATAAAATATATTACAATAAGCATTAAAACTGAAATTTACTTAACAGCATTTAATTTTATTCTTATTTGGACTGGGATTTTTAAGTATATGATCGCAAAGTTAGAATAATTACTTGCAAAAAAAAAAAAAAAAAAACTCGTTATTTTGTTGTGAAAATGTGTATAAATGTAACAAGGTTTAATTTTAAAGGTTTTTCGAACTGAATGAACTTTTTCAAGATATATAATATGCGCAGTACATTTGATGTTTTCTATGTCCTTATTGTTTATGAACACATTTTGTCTTTACTTCTGTTGAGTTTCTCGAGAAATGCCGGAAACATGCCCCATTGTCGAGTTTCGAGCAGGGACAAATTAGTGAAAAAAGAAGCGAAGCCGGGAACTATTGGTTTGTTGCAATTCATCGAGCACAACATTAGCATTTAAACGAGTGCATTCCGGAACTGGGCAACGCTCATTTCGATGTGGACTTAAATTGAATAAAGTAGCACTCTCAAAGATTCCCACTAATAACGAGTGATTGAAAATAAGCGATGGTTTTTCATGTTACGCGTCGGAGCGTGCCAAAGGCTCTTCCTTCGCTCCTTAGACCGGAGCGGGAGGCGGGTCCGTTCTTTGACGGCGGCCACGGCTGCTTTAATTACATGTGCCGCACGCCTTCTAATATCATTACTGGTCTCGCGCAGACACCGAGAATTAATTCCATAAACATGGCCTCATCTTTTTGTGTGGTGGTGCCTCACTTACCGCTCTAATGTAATCTTCATTACCAGGGATTAGTTCGGTGCGCAAGTTCCCTTTCATCCTCGGCGAGGCGGCACGTTTCATCTTTGCTGTGCTACCGCCAAACTCGCTTTCAAATTTAAAGCAGTTCGCCCGTAATCCCAGTTCAAGATCTGTGCTTTTCGGCGTCCCAGATGGGACGGGATAATGGGATGTGCGAGAGCAGGACGTCGGCAAAAATGCTCGCCCCTTCGTTCCCCCGCTCTTTCTGTGTAGCGTTTATCCATTTTGGAGGAGCGCGCGTCTTTTAACGAGATGTCCCTTCCAGGCGCGCGCAACAGGTAATCGCGTTCGCCACCTTCCTATCGCTCACTGGATTAAGTAACGCTTCGTTTTCCCTGTTCGGGGATTACGATCAAATATCGTAATTAATATGTACTAAAAACAACCATTCTTACGTTAGGCATATTGATGAGGAACCTGTTTGTTTGCTAAATGCGGTTAACTCTGCAAAACGAGGATCCCGCCGAGAATGCCTAATTCATCCTTGCCAACCAATACACCCCCCCCCACCGCAAAATGTGATTACAAAAGTATTCTCTTCTCGCAAAAGGGATTCAAGTGATAAGAGTGTCGTCGTTTCTTGTTACCTGACTCCTCCTAACCTAACATGCTAGTCAGGGCTTTCTTTTCCTCTTTCATTTTCGTTGCTTACAAGAAGAGAATAATTTTTTTTTTTTTTTTTTTTTTTTTTGGCAGGAATTGTGCAGCTGAATTTAACTGTCTGTCGCTCGATATAATGAATCCTATCGGATTTTTTTGGAGGGTCAGCTAATTTAAGCTTATACAAAGGTCATCTGGTTTCTGTGATCAATTGTAATACATATTAAAAAAATAAGTGAATTGTGTCGATATCCTTCCGTAGAATTACGAACTGTAATTTCGAATCTGACTCTTTTATTGCTGATATTTTTTGTCATAAGTGATCGCAAAAGCAAAATTTGTCCTATGTGGGCAAAATATTAACGTTTGATCAAAACCGTCGTAACTATTTAATGAAAGCAAAATGTATGATATGGTGGTTTTAGGGAAATAAATACTTAATTTTTGTTTGATGAAGTAATAAATGTGTGAATGAATTCTCAGTTACCAGTCTCTCTCTTTTTCAATTTGATCTTAGCCCACCAACGGCTGAGCGGTAAAGTCGCTGAACACTGGTAGTTCGGTCCAGGCTCGAATCCCGGCGAACAAGCTAGGTCCATGGGGGGTTTCGAGGTTTTCCCCATGAGTAACATGTATGCGAGCCAGTTTCCCTTAAAAAGTCCTACACGAAGGCATCCCTTCTTTTAGACAAATAGCCCTCGAGTGCTTTGTCATAATTAAACAAAAACCAAAACCAATTCGATCTTTTATATACCTACGTTTGGGCAATCGACCAAAGGAAACGTATTATACTGGGGTAATTATTTCTAATCTTCATTCTACAAAAAAATATAAAAATTTTTTCTTTATATAAGCTATTTGTCCTTTTGCATATCACTGCACTCGTTGAAATATTTGCTTTATATTTTGCTTAAAATAATTATAATCTTATTACCCTAAACACAGCATATATGCTTGTTTATAGGACAAAAAGATTACCAGCAGTTCGCGAAAGAAGCGGGTTTCACTACTTTCGCCTTTCTGGCTGATCTACATTTGTGAAGAATTGTTAAATTATTAGAAAATCATTTATATATGAATTGTTAAGGATTTATATAAGTCTGATGATCATTTCCTTTTATTTGTTTTATTCTAAAAACGTGTGGCCGATAATAATACCTTTTAAAATATTGCCTGAATATGCTATAAAGGATTGATGGCGTATTCCTTGTAACTTTTAATACTGGAAATAAAGATTTGTTAAAAAATACAAAAGTAATTTATGTAGATTATCCATTCCTGTTTTAGATCGGAAGTAGGTTAAGTAAATATTTTACACATTTGCGTATTTTGATTTCCATTATCTAGATGAGACAATGGAATTCATAGATCCGCCACGTGGTAGCATATAAAATTTCTCATTAAATTCGCCAGTCGAAAATATTACACTAATTGCTACGAAAGAATTTGCTGTTCTTTCAGCAAATAAAATGTTTTCTTAGAACTAGAACGTAGGTTTTTTTTTTTTTTTTTTTTTTTCTTCTGAATTTAAACTTAAAAGGTTTTTAATCCATGAAATCCTTCTTTTCACATGCATGAATTCATAGGCATATTCTTCTGTCGATAAATAGTATATTTTGGATTAGTAATTGTTGTAGAAATAATGAAAATAAGCGATGTGTCTCATGCTATTTTCAGACTATGGACCACAGCACTGCCAAAAGCTGAAAGTCTTTGAAACGAAATCTAGTCTCTTTTTAACTTGCAAGTAATGTAATTTGATCGCTGAGAAATGTAAAAAACGCACTGTAAAACACTTTCAAGTACATTACACCGGTAAATAGCACACTTCATCTATACAAAAGTTGTGTGAAACAAAAAGTGACATTTTAATTTTTAAAACATGAAGAAATGGGTCGGAAGGAGGACTTGAGTATCGAATGAATGGCTTTTGATTATATAAAGGCAGTCTTCAAAAGAGGGAATCGTTGGAAAGCGGCGAACATTCATATAACACTGTAGCTAATAGAAATAGCATTGAGTAATCAGTCTAGACTTCTGCTCTTTTATTAGACTTACATTTCTGCTCTTTTATTAGATTTTCGGATTTGTGCCATTTTTATGAAGCTTATTTTACAAGTCAAGAAAAAAAAAATATGTAGCATAATTATGAGCATCTGTCATAACTATGTTACTTAATGATCACGAGTAGTGTATTCGGAACTAATAATTTATGTATATATAATAATTTTAAAATTGTTTGTAATAATATTTATAGAAGAGCCATAACTCTTTAGTTACTATATTTAGTTAGAAATCGAATAGATCAGGCTTTTCATTTCGTTTTGTGTGCGTGCTTCACTTAACTAACATATTTAATTTACGCTCTTTTTCTCAACACACGCTATATTAAATCTTTATTCGAAACATTTTGTGCTTAAATGTCCAGTCTTTTAAATTCTTGTTACATTTATCAAAATGAGTGTATATTTTTTTATTTGCTTTATTTTTTAAAATATTATTTATAGAATTTACTTTTCCTTTTTTTTTTTTCAGAGTGTACTCGCGGCTCTAACTAAAGGACGACTCGAATGTGACATACCTGATGAAACTAGAAAAAAGTTCGACCAGTGGTACCTTCAGCAAGTTTTTCAGCATTGCAGACAAGTTGCGTTATTGCAGCAACAGCATCAGCAGCAACAACAGCAGCAGCAACAACAACAACATATTCATCATCATCATCCCCATCACCCAGCAATTGTTCAGTCAGGGGAATCAATACCTGTTGCAGGTAGTCCTCCTCATACTCCGCAGGATTTAGTAGCACGGGTAGCAATAGCTGGACCTCAATCTCAAGGTCGAACTCGAATTAGAACATCATTTGACCCTGAACTTGAGTTACCCAAATTGCACCGTTGGTTTGCTGAAAACCAACACCCTTCTCGTCTACAAATACAACAGTATGTGAGAGAACTGAACTCTCTTGAATCTCGTCGGGGTAGAAAACCTTTAGATGTAAACAATGTTGTGTATTGGTTTAAGAATGCTAGAGCTGCCCATAAGCGAGCTGAACAAAAGTGCTGCTCGGAAAGCAATGGAGTTCGCAGTCCTGGTGCTGATACAGGCGTTGAAAGTAGGTCTTTAGTCTCTGAATCAGTCAGCTGTCGACCGCCCAATGAAAATGAAGGAGAAAGATTCAGTGGTGGAGAGAGTCCTTCTGAATCACAAGCAAATAGCTCTGATGATTCAGATAATGTGCATACACTTGATCTTTCCATACGCCGTTGTCATAACTACAGTCTTATTAGTGAAACAGAGCATAACGAACCTCAAATTGAACTAAGAATCAAAGAAGAGCCAAGGGACTCTAGCAGTGAGCATTCCATCGAATCAAGTGACAGTGGTGATGAAGAGGTTGACATCATGGAAGATATGAGTGTAACAACTGATGAACCTGAGAATAGAGAGGACTACAATGACACGATGCAGCAGAATGGTGGTATGCCTACACACGACAGTATAGTGTCTTCAGAAGGAGATTTAAGTCGGCAAGCTAGTACATATCCTGGTCGTGTGTTAGGTCGCTTGGAGGAGCGGAGAAAACGAAATAGAACTTTTATTGACCCTGTATCTGAAGTTCCAAGGTTGGAACAGTGGTTCTCTGCTAATACTCATCCTTCTCATAGCCAAATAGTGCGCTTTACCCAAGAGCTCAACAGCATGCAGTACAGGCAAAAATTTCCAAAACTTGAACCTAAGAACATTCAATTTTGGTTTAAGAATAGGCGGGCCAAATGTAAACGACTTAACCTAGCTGCTAATTTGCAGAATATTAGTTGTTCAGACAAAATGATATTGCCAGCAAATTAAATGAGCTGGAATCGTTCTTATTTATATCTGGTGCTCTCATAATGTTATAACCTTAATCATATTCTAGCCAAACGTGACAATGGCTGGAACAGTCACTTTGTGTAGTAATTCATAATATGTGGGTTAATATAAATATTTGCCAAAAGAATGTAAGCAAAAATTCCCTCAGAATTATGAGGAAAGGGGATAATGTGTGCAATTCATGATGTATTGTACATATAATATTTCCTGTTGATTTTACTAGTGTGATAGTTTTTTTTTTTTTTTTTCCCTGTATCATTTGCCAATATTCTATTACAGGTTCTGCCACACAAAATTGGAAAGAAAAAAAAAAAAAAAAAAAAAAAAAAAAACTCTTAAAAAAAGAAACACATTTTCACTACTGTGGCTAGCTTTGGGATTTTTTTTTATATGCCCAGATGCTTCCATAAGTGTTGACAGAATCATCATAAAAATTTTTGGAATTAAATATCTACTCTTGGAAACATATTATGCATATAATTTAATTTTCAAATTTTCATTCTTAATTTTCACTCCTGGTTAAGTTTACTTTATTAAAACATTTAATTAAAGGGCTCTACAAATTCATCAAAATTTTGCAGTTTTTTTTTTTTTTTTTTTTTTTTAGTTTCATGTTCTTTTGCTGTAAAAAAAAATGTCTGCAAAAAAATTATTACATTGGTAATTTTATTTAAAAGAACTAATATTTTTAAATAATTTATATTCATGTTATCAAATATACTTAGTTTTCTGTTATTATTTTAGACTGAGCAAGGCCTTTGTTAAGGAAACTTCAAAATACCTGTTGAAGAAATTTGTGTTGCTTGTTGTTTGTAATATATGGTAGGATTTTAACTATGTTTTCAGTGGTGCAAAAGTTTTTAAGACAAAAAAGCTTAAGGATCCATCCAATTCACAATTGTTATTACCTTTTAATTTATATCAGTGTAAACCTTAGTTTAGGAATGGCTGAGCTATATCACAGGTAGTTTTTTATTTACATGCCAGCAAGAAGTGAAAATTGCATGCTTTTGCTCTAATCAGGAATAGTATTATTTAATGTGCATCTGAGCAAAGAAATATTTGAGTTACTGGATTCCAAACGTTATTTGTTCTTAATTAAAGACTATAGGAAATATTTATATATGTATTTGTAATGCCTTGAAAATAGGGAATGAAAAGAAGCTTACTGATGTTTTTATTATAAACTGTACATCATTAAACTAGCAAACTGCATATCTACTCAGCAAGGATTATCTACCATAATGCAACAATGAAAATTCTTAGAAATAAATTTGAAATTTATTCTTATATTTCTTGAAATCTTTTTTATCATTCGGAACAGAATTATTTCACTTAACATGCATAAGCAATATATAATATATAGAGAGAGCGAGAGAGAGAAGCACTTTGTATTAATAGAATATGAATTACGTAAAAATATTGTAGCACATATTTGCCATCCCTAAACTAAGGATTGTGTAAAAACTGTAGTGATATTAAATTTATTTGCGATTTGAACATTGTGTACAGTCTTTTTAAATATTGATAAATGTTTTATATGTTTTTCTTGAAAACTTGTTATTAATATCAGAAGGGATTTTTTTGCATATTATAAATTTCAGTTGAACTCTGTTAAAATGGAGGTTCTACTTTCGAATAAAGGCTTAATTTAGGAAAGCTCTGTATTGCCATCTCGGTCAAAATGAAAAATGAAAAATTTTAATCAACTTGTATGGGCCTATCATATGTAAACAGAAGGTAAGGTTTGCAGAGGTTTTTGTAGTTAATTGGTAATGAACTTAGCAACTTGTTCAAGCATAACAAACTGAGATACTTAGCAACTTTGCTAGGTCATTTAGGGAAGCATTTATGGACAGCAGGGCTAAAAGTCCCATATTTAAGGCCAAACTAAGGATTTTTCATACCTATTAATCTTTTAAAAGTTATATTTAATTAGTTTGGTGAATTCTTATGTTTTGCCTTGTGGTGGCTTTAGGTATAGGTATACTGGCATTTGTATCTTTTACCAAAATTAAATTATTTATGAATTGATTTTATTGTATAATTTACTGAGTTGGCAATCAGAAATATAAGATTGTATCTGCTTTGATCATTTCAAGAATGTTATGCCAGAAAAATAATTATATAAACTTTTTAGCCTTCTGATGTTAAAAACTAGATTTTTCAAGAACAGATTAAAACTTTGTAATCAAAATAAAATTCTCTTATAATGCATTTTTTGACACCCTTGGTATTTTATTAAATATTGTGACATAATTTAATTTAAGAACTGTCGAATCTGTAAGTTGTTTTATTACTTTGAGTTTTTAGTGCTCCTTATTTTCATCTTATTTTCATCTTAAAAGGCAGCAATAAAAAGAAAGAATAAATTATTGAAGTTTTAAATAGGAAAAATATATTTGTTACGTCGTGAACTCTGTTAAAGATTCTTTCCACTGGCGGACACTTAATCGACTTAGGCTTGGCCACTACGGCCGGAAGTGGTGGCCATTTTATTGTGGAAGCACCTAATAGGTGGGCCACCGTTACCTCCAATGAAAGAACGGACAATTAAGAGCCGTGCCTTCTCCGGGATTCAAACACGGGCCATTCTGTATCGCAGTAAGTTCCCCTATCCATTATACCGTCTGGGTGGTTGCTCTATTAAAATGGAGATTGAAAACTTTTGGGAAAGGGGGGAAAAAGCATTTTTTTACTCTAAACATTCAGATATTATATGATACTTCTTGAGCATTTATTGTAAGAAGTATCGCATTCTAAGAAATGTATGTGCCTAGCCTAGGTCATCAAATATTTTCAAAATATTGATTACTTAAGGACCTTATAAAACCGTTCTTAGTAAACCGGAAAAATGTTTTTATAGAAAATGTAAGTATAGCTGATAAATTTATCTTGTAAGTAGAATAAAGAAAACACAATATTTTGGTATTTTTATCTATTTATCAGTAAGAAAATCATTCAGAAATTGAACAGATGGCAGTGTTTGTTTTTAATTTCATAAATTTTGCTTCCTTTTAAGTTTTAAAAATTTGATTGTGTTGTTTAAAAATAAGTTTTAAAGAACGGGTAAAATATTAGCATACTTAAGCTGTATATTTAATATTTAGCAATATTCTCCTCCCAAAATACTCATGCCATTTTTTGTTGAAAAGCATCATTTTATTGAAATTAATGCCAATTTCACTTTTGCTAGTAATTAAAGCTTAAGTGCGTATTTATTGTATCTATGAAGCTGCACATGGTTAGACACAAAATTCAGTTACTAATATAAATAAAATTATTTAAATCATATTGTTTCCTTTTATTGCTAAATTTTATAAATTGTGATTATTTTAAAATTTTATTCAATAAATAATTTTGTAATTGATTTGTACATATTTATAAGTAGTTTTATTCCTATGGTTATTTATTACTTTAAAATGACAAAATTTATATAATTTATTTATTAGACGACTGATGGTAAATCATTATTTTCGATAAGAAATAACTTTTAAAATAAGACATGTTATAGATATATGTATGTGTGTATATACACGAATACACATATATATGTGTGATGTAATATTAATTTATTGTCCTCTAGTTTAGCTTTTGCTATGTTATAAGAAATCTCTTGCAAATTATTATGACTCTAAGTTACGTTTTGTTATAAATAGATATTTTAGTGAAGAATACTCTATCCAGTTTCCATGATTTTTTTTTTTTTTTTTTTTTTTTTTTTTGTGTGGTGTGTGTGTGTGTGTGTGTGATTAAGCATTTTGTGTTCAAGCTATTCAGATGAAACATTTATAAAACATTCTCAAGGGCGATAATTGTTTATTGTGTTATCGACTGTGTTATTGAATTAATAATTCATTAATTACAAATCTCGCATTAATAATTCATTATTAATATCAGAAAATTTATGGCCAGATTTTTTTCTTTCTAACATAATGTGGAAATAAATTTTAAATACTCTAAATCACCAATTTAAGTATTAGTCTGCAATTATGGTATTTTTTTAAATAAATAACCCTCACTGAATGAAGCAATAAAATTAGTCATTAAGAAATGTTGAAATTAAAAGCTATACTAACTAAAGAAACTTACTTTGAAAATTTTATTGTAATATTTTATGATTACTAAGTGTAACTAATCCACATATTTACGTATCTGTGCATTTGCATTAAAAGATATTTCTGAATTAAGGGTTTTATTTATATTTTCATGGTATTAGAACTCATAGTTGGTATTTGTAAAAAACGTTAAATATCAGTTAAATGTTATTAACTTTAAAATATAATTTTTGTAGAATGTACTCAAAAAATATCTTAAATTACATTTCACATTGCATTAATATAAAGAAGTCAAAAGTCTGCAATCAAAAATGCCAACAAGGAGGGGGTCAACAAAATAGGACAGTAGTTTCAACAGCATACTGAAGTCATTTAAAATAATCTACTGAAATGAATTACATTATTTTAGAGTGTTTTTATTTTTAGATGTATTCACAAATAAACTACATGTCACAAATCATAATTATGGTAATTGTATAAATTCTTCTGCTTATAATCTAGTTTGAGCGGTTTTGCATGCAATATTCTTCAAATGGGAAATCAGGATATTCTTTATAACAATTTTATGTCTGTCTGATGAGTAACTCAAAATGCAGTAAGACTGTGTCCAACTTTGTGTTGGAATTTTATACAATTCTGAAATTTGTAGCTAAATTTGCAAAATTAAAGTATTTTATAGTCTTTAGTTTTGTGTATTAATATTTATTTTTATTTGAAAGTCACTAAGAGGCAGACTAAATTAACCATAAAGCAACATTAAATATTTATAAGAGGTCATTTGTTAAAATAAGCAGTAGATATGTATTTAAATTAGAGTTTACTTCCTTCTGTTCAGTTGTTTTATTTACTGTTTTCCTCCTTTGAATGGTTTATATCATGAATAACTACTACCACCTAAATGCAGCCTAACTAAAACTAAAAATATAAGAGGATTTTCAAGCAATACTATACAAAGCAGAATTAAAAATATTGTCCAATTTGCAGAAACTTCGTTGTTTAGAAAGCTGTGCTTTTTCATTTTCTGATATCTTCTTTGTAAGAAAAAGGGAAAGCAAATCTCTCGATTTGACTACAAAAAAGTAAAATAAGGTTATCTTTTGAGCCAATGTGCATAAAAATCTAATTTGACACATTGGCTGTGCTTGTTATTAAGCTTCAAAAGTTGCATAAAATTCGGACATAAAAATTTTACTCACATTTATTCTGCATAGTTTGCATTGGGTGTGTACATCTTAAAAAATTAATATTTTCAAAGTTAAATAAAATATTTTTTC